TTTTTTTGCGTTCAGCGTTGCGTAAAAAATTGATAAAGTGCCATTAAATTGTTTCAGTGATGTTCAGTGCACGCGGCGGCGGTGGCGGCAATGATGGTGGTGGCAACGGCTGAAACACATAATCATTCGGTGACGAATGAAAATCGATATTATCCGCCATACAGTGTCATTCTCGTTCTGTCGCACACCTCGGCCACACTGCTCGCTTTTGTGTCCATTACGAAAGAGTGCATGTGTGTTTGTGTGTGTGTGTATGAGTTTTTGTTCCGTTATTTATGGCCAACTAATTGAGTGGCATGGGATTGGCAACAATTTTATTTTTATCTTTATCATTCCCTCGTTCAACATTCATTGAATATATACTGGCTGAGTCGACGAAGTGAAGTCCATTTGAAACAAAGAAGAGGCGTACAGGGGGAGGGAATGATGGAGGTTGTCCGTATAATTAGTATTCATGTCAAATTTAATACGATTTCAAGGATGTATTCAACGTATTCCAATCGAAAACCAAGCCACCAAATTCGTTCCGCTAATCAAATTCATTTACAATATATTTGGCAAATCGGCATGACGAGACGATAGCTTAGCACGCACAATCTATTTCCGTGTCAAAGATTTTTATACTCCAATACTATATACCCATGTATATACATAAAGTATGTATTTCGGCGTTAGCTTTGGCTTTTGTTTTTTTTTTCATTGGATAACATCAAAAATCAATTTCATTGAAATGAGAATGGGCAAAGTTTTTGGGCAAAACGCATTTCCATTCCATTGGAAATCCATTCATTCGCTCTCTATTCTTTATCAATTGATTCCTTCAATATATCGAACGTATTTTTAGAAACCCTTCAAGCAGTCAAACATACGTATATATACATATGGGAAAAAGGTTAGAATCGGTGTAGAATATACGTATAGAGTAGGTGTACGATGCGAATGAATAAGCGAGTAAGCGATATGTGATGAACGAATGAATGACTGAACGTGCAACACTGAGCCAGCCAACGGATATTGTGTGTTTTATTTTCTTTCGGAATTTTGTTTGTTGTTTCAGTTTTTCGTCTTAATTATAATGGCTGTTCCGAGTGCATTTTCAGCCATTTGGCCTAGAAAAAAATAAATAAAATCAATAAAATAACATGCAGACATCATCACAAATGCTACTACGAAAATTCCACACCGTGAGTGAATCTGTGTGTATGTGTGTGTGTCTGTGTTTGGGTTGAGAAGAAGAGTAAGAGAAATAATTTGAAGCGATTGTGAGCAAAACCACCAGCACCATTGCCGCTGCCATCCGTTCGAGTGAAGAGAAAGAGAAACATATCGTGAACTACCGAGGGCGGCAGCGAATGGGAAAGAGTTGATGTGAATCGTTAGAAGTTACCCACGATCTAGGCTAAATGAATGTGCATTAAACAAGCAATTGCACACATGCCATAAAATAAATTGCACATACAAATATGCACATTCGCTCACTCTCACACACTCTCACACACTCACATATTTTCAATATTGTGCGGATCGTGAGTGTGACAGATCGATGGAGAGAAAAATTGCGTTTTGAGAGAGAAAGAGAGTGAGTGTATCAAAATAAAAATAAAACCCCAAACACATGCTCTACACTGATTGTTCCTCTGCCTCAGTAAAAGGATTCATTTTGAATGACTCACATGACAAATGAATATCTCTTTTGTTGTTGCTTTTGTTATTGTGGTTGTATTTGAAATTCTTGTAAATCATCTGACACTGCGAACACTGATCCTCCTTTGAAATCCTTATTGTTTCGTGTCAATATTGGAATATTAACAACTTTATATAACTAGTGTTGCGGATGAGAACATTTTTGAAGAATTTTTTTTATTATTATTTTTTTCTCTTCAAAACTGTCGATTCAGAGTAGAAAAAAAACCATATTTTGTTCTCAAAATTTAAATGGATATAGAGCATCACGACAATACAAAAGAGAGAGAGAGAGAGAGAGAATGAGAAATCGCGTCTTATTAACTTGAATTTTATACGGAAATATTCGATGCTGTTGTGTCGATGTATATTGTTGTTGTGCTGTTTCCAAAACTTTGCATTGACGTCGGAGTTGAGTATATGGCCTATACTATAGGCAGAAAAAGAAGCTTTTTATGACACACTATTCACTTGGCCTGTGAAAACATTTGAACATATTTTGAGCTCACTTTACGCTTGAATAGCCAAATCAAATTCATAACATGACAGGCGGTTTTTTTCGTATTCCCATATATACATACGTTAGTAGTCAGTCGC